ATGGAATCTAAAGGCAAAGGATAATATATTGATAGAACATAGAGAACAACATAGAGAAAACTGAACACTTGGAATTTTAAAATGTTGAAAATATCTTTAAGGATATCTATTTCTGTGCTTGAAAAAAATGTCAAGTAGTATGTCACTCAGTTAAAATAGAAAAAAGATCCTGACAGTTTGAAAGAATGACAGAAAGTTCATGAAAATTTGAATGAAGCATTTAAATAACTTCAGTATTAGCTGCATATGTGTTAAGTTAACCAGAGAAACAAGTTAGAAAGTCAGACTTTGGTATCTGTGAAAGGATTGTGTTTTGCAAATGCCACTAGATTAAATTTCCTTGTATGATGTTGAAATCACATTTAGAAGAATTTCTGCTAGGTCTTTGTCCAAACATCACAAAATTACCATGGCATAAATAAGGCTCTTGGGCCAGGTCAAGACCACCAGATCTATGGAATGTTTTTCAGCAGTTCTTAGAGTGACCCAGGAATTTCAGAAGCATAGATCAAGTATCGATGTGCATGTGTGCAGACTTGGTGGAGGGAGCGAAGAGGACTCAGTGTGTATGCCCAAGTAAAACATTCATGTGTTCCACATGATGAACAAAAATAGACTAACCTTCTTCCCAAAACGAATTTTGTTACAATTCCAGGAATGCTTCCCCTGCCTGAAATACTTCAAATCCATCTCGTCTGTGTTACAGGTTTTGTTGGATTTAAGGATTGCAAAACAAAGACTGAAAGGCTATGCAAACAGTTATTTCCCTAAAGAGTTACTAACTCATATATTTATTAAAATTTGTGGGGTTAAATCTTCAGGGAGATTTTAGTCTTACTAATGTAGCTTAGATAGGCCAGGAAAAAATGAGTGCGTTAACTTGGGCTTCCACCTTCCAATTGTTTGAACAGAGCCCAGGGAGACCTACCCTTGCAGCCTTCAGCCAATACTGGAGGCCATTAAGGGTGGACTCACTTGTTGCTGTTATTTCTGCCTTCTTTCTTAATATAAATAATGGAGCCCTAGTTCTAGAGGAAATCTTTAAAAAGCTAACCCAGTTCACTCATTTTGTAGATGAGGAATTCAAGGCCAAGATAATAAAATATTGTCACTAGGAGTCTGAGCTGTGTGGCTGAGACTGCTAGGCACGTCTTGTCACATCCACATACTTACACCCAGTGGAGATAACCAGAGGACACTCAGTGTTTGAAGAAGCAAATGATGATCAGACATTTTCCCTTCCCAAGTCACTGGCTTTATTAGTGATATATTAAAAGGGACTTGGTCAACTCGTGCTATTATTTTTTCATTCCACTAATAACAATATTGTGTGGACCTGAGTCCACTTATTTGGGTTCCTCCTGTTGACTTTTTTTCCAAACAGAAGGGAAAATATCTTAGTGAGTTTATGAGGTGCATATGTTGCCCAGTAAATTCTAGCAGTGTTTAAGCTCAGCTGGCTTGTTGATGCATGGTAGAAGCATAGCAATGTAGAGCTATAGTGTCAAGACTGAGTTCAAGTTTGAATATAGCACTTAATACTTTTGATGAGGAGATTAACCTCTCTGTGCTTCACTTTCTTCTTGGGACACTAATTCTGGAATTGTTATTAGATTCTTGGCAGTACTGAAATCTGTTCATGTGGCCAACACTGGCATACAGGATATCCTATACACCGCACATTCTGAATCCTTGAAGTTTAGCAGGAGACAGAAAACAAATGAATAAGTGGATATGTAGTTAAAACTGCAAACACATGGAAGTACTGAGTGCTGGAGGACATGGATTCCAAAAAATCAGCTGTGGTCAAGGACACAAAGAAAGGAAGTCTTCCCTGACAAGATCTCCTCCTCAAAGTCACAGCTTTCTCAAAGTCTGAATTATTTATCTCTCTTGACCTCCTTCAGTCCAATGGAAGGGAATAAAATACAATGTGATAGTTGCCCTTCTGTTCAATTAGAAGTGTTGCTGTACATTTTTAGTTCTATTGAATCTTTGCAAATACTTAGAAAAGAAGTATTGTTTCTCTTCGGTTATTTTGTGGACCACGTATCTAGACTTTGTTCTATCAGCAGTTATTACTAGAGCTGTACTTTAAAAATAATATGGAGAGAGCATTGTGTAAGACGTGTATACCTTTGTGGTATAAATCTAGCCATGCATGTTGTGTTTGGGAGAAAGCATTTATGAGTATTCTGCTGAAACATTTATATGCCTATAAATAACTTTGCTAGGTTACTTTGCTTAGCATGAACACTGTGGAGATTTTTGGAGTCAGTTTATTATGAAGATTCTTCAAGGATTTAAACACAGTAATGGTAATATAATCTGCCTGTTGGATTAATAAATTTCTGAAGTCTATTCTGCTTATGGATGCAGCCATTTCTGGAAGGATATTATTTCTATTTCAGTGCCTGCATATTGTCAACTTTTGAGAATAATCAAAGTTGATTAGACATTGTTATTGTGCTCCGTCGTTTTCTCTTTCAGAGCTGAGACCTGTCCTCCATCTCTGGAAAAGCTATTCTGAGTTGTCCTGAGCATAACCACTGATAAACTGTTTAGTATTTGCAGAGAGCATTTTGTTTCCAGGATTTTGCAATCATTGCCTTTAGTCTGTATAATTCTATGTGGGGTAGGTAGATAAATTTAAGCATCCAAGTGTCCTGCAGGCGAATTTTGGCACCAGCAAGGATATTGTGATTGGCACTGACTTTCTCATTTCCCAGAGGCTAGACACCTGGAGAGACTTTCCTTCTGGCCCAGGTAAATGCCAGTATTTCTGCCATGTGGGTCTACTTCACGTTCTTTCTGCTGTTTCACTAAGATCCAGTGACCTTATGAATCATGAACTGTAGTGCTGCACTGACTGGGTCAGTCAGCATTAAGGAAGGGTGTTTTCTGGAAGATTCTCCAAGGGTCCAATAAACATTTACTTTGTCTATAGCAAATGTCAACTATTGACACCTCCACCATACCAACCTTTTTTTTGTTTGTTTGTTTGGGTCCGGTTGTGGGGCCTGAACTCTGGGCCTAGGCACTGTCCCTCAGCTCTTCAGTTCAAGGCTAGCACTCTACCACTTGAGCCACAGCGCCACTTCCGGCTCTTTGCTTATATAGTGCTGAGGAATCAAACGCAGGGCCTCATGCATGCAAGGCAAGCGCTCTACCACTGAGCCACCTTCCCAGCCGATACCAACCTTTTTTGAGTCTTTTAAATTTTTTATTTAAAATTTTCTTAATCTCAATAAATGATATATGAGAAGCTAGAATTTCTTCTTAGGAGTTTGTAACATATGCCCTTACTCATCTTACATATGTATATATATGTATATATATATGTGTGTGTATATATATATATATATATATACATAGATGTATATATATGTATACATATACATATATATGTATATATATACATATATGTAAGATGAGTAAGGGCATATACGTGTGTATATATATATATATATATATATATATACATATATAAGATGCATAAGGGCATATATATATATATATAGTGCTTAAATTTTCACCAAATAATCCTTGATTAAAGTGTGGTGCCAGCAGATATGCACTGTGTGTTTGTTGTTGGTTCTGAGATACTGTAATAGACATAGAACACACTGCCTTATCCTGGTAACAAAGCTGTGAAGTAGATGCTGTCATCACAGATAGAAAGCCATGGCCAATCAGTTGCCAGTGACAGAACTTACAGTGGACAGGGCTAGAATTTCAACCCCTAGTTCTATCTGATTCCAGACTCAGTTCTTCAACCATTGCATAACACTGCCTTACACCAAGGCTAATGGACTATTTAGTGAAGTGTTAGGGCAACACGTAACCATGAAGTGCAAAAGAGGAGCTTGACTAAAAAGGCATATGGGGATTTACTTTTCTATAAGCAAAGCTAAAGCATGAAAATTAATTGTGCATATCTTTTCACCTTCCCAGAAACCTATCACAACTTGTCTCAAATGAAAAGTTCTTATATATTTGTCTTTATCATTAATTTCTGGGGAAAGGGACTGTGATGATTCATCATATGATTGTACCTATTAACTCAGGCTTAAATCCTAACATGGAGTGAGTGGTTCAAAACTACTGAATAACTAATTAACTTTTAAAACTTAGTGGGACTTTTAATCTGAACAGAAATGCATGTCCATAGAAAAACAATCAAAAGAAACAAAAGAATCCCCCTTCTATTTTAAGCTTTCTCCTGAGTCATTACTAGTTACAATTTCACGTGGCTCCGTTCAGAATTATTCATTGTGTCTGTTTGTACATGTGTAGATGTAGGTGTGTATACATACTCTAATGCTGCAACTAAATTGATTTAACTTCATTGGTAATAATTATGTCTAAAATACATGATTAATCATAGTATGATATGCTCTGAGTATATAATTTTATAATCTAAATCTTGTTGAAACAATTGTCTTAAATATGGAATCTTTTTGAGAAAAATAGATGTATACATTTTTAACCATGTCCCTAAAATAATAGCATAGATATAATAAAACTCTAAGATGGTTACAATTTAAGTATCTTAAACCCTGGAATTGCTGGTAATAAGTTTTATATTTGTATATATGTGTTTTATATATATGTATGTGAGGAAAAAGGGAAAGACATTAATTTTACAAGATCTAAAGGTTTCTATAAGTTTAATATTAATAACACCATGCTTCCAAATATTTTTCTTATTACTGATCACATTTTAGTCCATATTATGCATAAAGAATAAGGCACTATGTTTAAATAAATGGATACAGTGCTATTTTGGTGCAACATATACTGGCATTTTCACAAGCAGAGATGTTAATGGGAAGTTATTACCTTACCTTAGAAACTACATGTTTCTAATATGCATGTTGGCTATGGGTTATGAAAAGCAAATCTTAATCTGACATAAACTGGAAAAGAATATGAACATTTAATTGTTTTGAGTTACAAGTTAAGTTGCTAATTCTTATGTGTTTGCTTTTTAATTTTAGGTTTCAGTATAAAGGCAGTACCATTCCAGAATGCTATCCTGAATGTAAAAGAACTTGGAGGTATAACATTTAACATCCTTTCTATGTCTGATCTTAACTTCACTAATTGGGTATTAATGTATTGTTACATGTAATTTAAACAGTATGATAGTTTATCCCCCAAAACTGATTTTTACTTGTTATCTTGCTAACATATTTTCTCGAAATAGTTCCTTTTCTTTACATATGCTTTAAAAGGTGTTGAAGAGTCCTATGATAAACTTTGCTTTCTCTTATATGAATCAAAGAACTACACTAATGGCAATTGATATGGCAATTGATTGGTTTTATTTATGCAAAACTATTCTTGGAATGAAGCATATCAAGAGAATTTTCGTGTCATTAAATATAAACAAGGCAAAAATGTGTTTTAGTTAACATTTATACTCAAATTTGATTAGACTCAATCTTTTTAGAATGTATTTGTTCTGATAATAAATCTTTGCCATTGGCTGTTTTGCTGGCCAACCACATTTATTGGATAGGCTGTACCCCAAAGCATGCATCATTCAGTCTTTCATTACACTCTGTCTGGCACTTTTTTTTTTCTTGTGTTTTATGTCAGTCAGGGTCTTAACCCATGTAAATAGATTAACAAAGAAATCAGTCAATTCAGTGAACCTACTAAATTCTCTAATGGCACAGGAAAATGGCAAGTGCTTGCAGTTCTGTAGAGTATGGATGAGTTTAATGACTGAGAAGAAAGCTCCCTTCCATCTCTTTAATCACTTTGTGATATTGACCTTACCCTGTTTTGTTTTGTTTTGTTTCTTTTCCTTCAAGGTCATTCTCACTATGACCTATTTTTAGTGTGATAAAATTGAAACACCAACTTCATGCCATTTTCAGTGTTTTGTACTTTCTTACTTTTATTCAATAAGTATTGTCTGAACTTTTCAGGGATCTGTTTTCAGGGCACTATGGTCTAAGACAGACTTGCTTCTTTTAGTTTGTTTTATAGCCACCTCTGGCTTTTATAACATTAATACTGAAAAGCAACCAGGAATTATAAATTCTGATTTTTTCCTTTCAGTTTCTTTTATTAGTTTTACTTTGGAAATCATATTACATGAATATACTTACAATAACTTTTCATGTAAAAAATTTTAAGAATATTTTATTAGACTGTTTTAATACTTCTTTGGTTTGTTGTGGCTGTTTGCTTCTCAGTGACAAAATTATTATTAACAGATACTTTGGAGTCACAGGACATATCATATGAATCCACTACCTCTTATGTGTGTGGTTTTAAGTCAAGCAGCAACACACTATTTTATTATGAGGCCAGACACAAAATTTTATTGAACACCCACCAGGTGTACAAAACTGTTGATTAATCACTAAGGTATTTACCATTTAAGATGTCTATGTAGATGAAATAAATAGTAAATGTGTCTGGGTAGTTAAGAAAAATGAGCATTTAAAGGAATTTATTATAATTTTGGATCTGTGCCATTGAAATTCAGAGCAGTGAAAGAGGACTAGGGGTGTATCAGATGGGAATAGGTCTGTTCCTGAGAAAGATTTAATTCTGCTGAACAAACTGTGTTCTGAAAATTGCTGAAATGGAGATTCCAACGGAGAGGATACCGTAGGGTTTGATGTTCATGTTTTAATTTGTACCTATTTTATAACAAATGAAGAGATATCAGAGCAGACAGAGCCTCAGAGGTCAGAGCAGATATGTCGGTTCTAGGCTAATGGTAAGTTGGGTTTTTACATGTATTAGTATTAAAGAACAAATTTCTAACCTAAACTTATTACTCCTGTCCCCAACTTTAAATAGCTCTGATTTTAGCTGAGAGAGTATCTCAAGGAAAGATGACTTTCAGACATCCACAGCATGGTTAAGTAATGGCCCATGTCACAATCTCAGAGAAAAAAAACAGAGGGAGTTGATTTTTTTTTGGGGGGGGGGAGCGGGGAAAAATGGGGTTTGAACTCAGGGTCTTGGGTTTTCTAGGTAGCTTCTGTACCACTAAGCTGCAATATTCCACTGGGCCAAGAGTTGGTGATTCATTTACCAACTTATGTATTAAAAATATATTTTAAAAAATTGTCTCAAGAACACATGAGAGAAGGTAGGCTAGAACATATAAAGAAATAGGAGCTTTCCTAGGATTTAAAATGTATTCTGGGAAGTGGTGCTGTGGCTCAAGTGGGAGAGCACTGAAGAGCTCAGGAACAGTGCCCGTGCCCAGAGTTCAAGCCCCATGGCCGACCCAAAAAAAAAAAAAATGTATTCTGGTGCCAATGTAAAGTATTAGTCTTTTGGAGAGAACTATGACCTATTTAAATCCAGTTATCTGGGAGCTACTTGACTGAGAATTACTAATTTAAAGATGAAAGTATTGAGTGTTTTAGGACCATTGTTGGAGAATTGGAAACCTGTGTTTGCCAGTGTGGTACCATTCAGAATATGGGTTATTTGGAGTTCTGTGGGTAACTGGTGAGAACAGGACTATAAGGTCCTACTAAAGAAAGCACAAATACAGCAGTTGTCTTCATCCTGGGGATGACAAGGGAATGGCCCAGCCATGTTCTTCCTGCTAGTGTCCTTTCTCAGTGCTTCCAGATAATTCTAAGGCCTCTACCACTCCCCTTCTCAACCTTAGTTAAACTTTTCACCTTTTCAAAAGAACAAAACAGCTGGGCACATTGGTGGCTCATGCCTGTAATCCTAGCTACTCGGGGCTGAGATCTGAGGATCATGATTCAAAGCCAGCCTAGGCAGGAAAGTCCATAAGATTATTATTTCCAATTAACCACTAGAAAACCAGAAGTGGTGCTGTAGCTCAAAGTGGCAGAGCTTGGGGGACAGTGCCTAGGTCCTGAGTTCAAGCCCATGACCAACTAAAACAAAATGAAACAAAACATGAATTTCTTGTTCTTCTTTTGTGGGATGAAATAACAAGGATCAATGGAGTTTAATTTAATGAAAGTACTTTAGGGAGATAAAAATAACATGTACATACACTTGATATATGTTCATGCTGATGTGTATTTGTTATATATGTATGTAAGTTTTATATATGTATGTTAATATATGCATATATGTATATATAAAATATGCCTATGGGATAGATTTGTATTCTTTTCAGCTTTCTATTTTATGAAGGTGTTTTCATGTGTTTTAGACAAAGAAGTCTTGTAATTCTTACTTGTAAGAGTTTCTTCTCATGGGATGTTATCTTACTTTTCCCTGTTCTACCACAATCAATTATGACTAGCCTGGTCCTAGAGTCTAAGATTTAAAAATTTCAGGCACAGTGCTTACATTCAAGGTATTTATTAAAACAAATCTATGATATTATTGAAAATAGACAAATTAAGGGGAGAACAAAACAGAAGTACCAAAGTACAAAGTACAGAGATATCCCAGTCTGGCAGTCCAGTTCAATTTTTGCATTTTAAGAATGACTTAGCCAGATGTAATGGCTCAATTTTATAATCCCAGCAACTTGGGAGAAGAGACTATGATAAGTAGGGTTATCATTCTAGGCCAATCTAGGACAAAAGTTAGTGAGTCCCCCCTCCCCCCCCCCCGGCCCCCACCCACACTGCCCCTTTCAACAAATACCTGCTGGAACAAATAAACCTGTTGAAAATAATAAAACCCTGATACCAAATGACTTAACTGAAGTCATTTAGAGGAGGAGGAGATGGGATTCATTTAGGGCAAGAGAGCTTAACCAGATGACAGGATGCATAAAGAAAGCATCTTCCCATGCCTGGCTTGGGGCAGCCACGCCTACCTACTACCTGCTGTGTTGTAGTCATCATTACCAGTTTCACTTAAAAATCTTCGCTCAAAGTTGGAAGATTTTGGAGTAGCATTCTAGTGTTCATGTCTTGACAAGACATGAACATTTTGCTCTCTGTTCCAGAACTTTCATGGAATTTAATCTCCTATTACTGAACTCTTTCTGTGGTCCATTTTGTTGCCTGTCACTCTCATATTGTGTAGTCTTAGATCAAATTCTTATTCAGTTATTGATTCCTGGTGCGATGGCTTTGCCTCTTCCTTCCTTTAACTTCCTCCCGACCTCCTACTCCAACAAAGTCTTCTTTCTTCTTTTGGAACTATCTAGAGCCTGCCACAAACATTGCACTTTTGCATTTTTTTCTTTCTCATCCATTCATTTAACAAATATTTACTGGGTACATATTATTCTAGTAGCTGTAGAGTTAAGAAAAGCATTGTCTCTGAGGAAATCAGGTAGCAGGCACTAGGGGAGCTCACACATACCTCTCTCCTTAATTAAAGCCAAATATTGATTCTTGTACGCCTACAGAAATTCATGGGTTAATCCTTGCATCCCTGAAGGAGTTTCCAGATACTGTCCAGACACTGGCCCAGTGTTACTTGTGACTTCATGAAGGATATTTTGTGATACATTCCACTGTTGTGCTTACTGAACTACTTTTTCCTATACATCTTTTCTTCACTGGGTTTTCACTGAAGCTAATCTAAATGCCTTCCCTTTTTGTGCGAATTAATTACTGTTTGTCTTGTTTTTTGTTGTTGTTGTTGTTATTTGTTTGTTTTGGGACCAGGTCTTTTTATGTAGCCTGGGCTGGCCAGAAACTTGTGATTCCCTGATTTAGCTTTCTAAGTGCTAGGATTATGTACATGTACCTCCATTCCTTGCTTTCTATGCTAGTTTTTCTCTGGACTGTTTTTATTCTTCTGGATGTTAAGACACCTATCAGAGATCCTGGATGGACAGCTGGATTAGGCTTCTTTCCAAGCCCTGTTATTCTGCACAATATCAGGCACATCCCTCCTCCCATATCTTCCTTATCTATATAGTATAATAGTAATAGTTCCTATGTCCTGTCATCCTTGTGAACACTGAATTAGTTAACGCAGGCTAAGTACTTAGAGTTGGCCTGGTCTATAGCTAATGTGCCAGAATTTCTTTTTCTTTTTCTTTTTTTTTTTTTGTTGGTCATGGGGCTTGAACTCTGGGCCTGGGCACTGTCCCCTGTCCCTCAGCTCTTCAGCTCAAGGCGAGCAC